GTCTTTGTAGGGTTTTGATGTTTCATGTTGAGGTACCTAAATTTTATGTAGGATTACTAAATCAATTTTTCTGTTTTCTTTTTGAGACAGAGTTTCTCTCTTGTTGCCCAGGCTGGAGTGCAATGGTGTGATCTCGGCTCACCGCAACCTCGGTCTCCCAGGTTCAAGCAATTTTCCTGCCTCAGCCTCCCGAGTAGCTGGGATTACAGGCACGCAGCAACATGCTCAGCTAATTTTGTATTTTTAGTAGAGATGGTGTTTCTCCATGTTGGTCAGGCTGGTCTCGAACTCTCAACTTCAGTTGATCCGCCCCCACCCTTGGCTGTGGGGATCGCCCCTGCGAGGCTAACAACTTGGCCTCCACCATTAGGTGAGCTTGATTCCTTACACACTTTCCCTGGCTGGTGGCTGTCGAGCTATGGGGAAGAAAAACTGGGAGAAGAATGACTAAACAGAACACTATTTTTCAGCCTTCTTGGCCGATGAGATAATGGCTGAGTGAACGCTGAAGTGATTTAACTGGGTATTGTGTTCCCCTTTCTGGCTCCTGATCTAAACCTGTTTTATGACTTTGTTTACCAGGCATTGTTTCAGCCTGGAGACCTCCCCTGCAGTCCTTGTCTTTTGCAGATGCATGATTTACTGCTGAGCTTGTGACTTCTAGATAATTGAAGATTGCTATCCGAGTTACTGGTTGACAATATTGATAATCAGCATCACCCATTCCCCCCTTGATCTTTTAAATCAGTATTTGTTCCTTTTACTAGTTCCCCAGAACTGTTTTCTGTTTCTTTTGTTATTTGAGAAAAGCTTTGATCTGACATGAACAACATTAAGTAGAAAAGTATATAATGGAACCTACTGCACAAATAAAATCGCTCTTTGGGCATAGCCTAATCAGTCTTCCAGACCCTGCTTCTCTCTGTCTCCTTTTCTTCCGCACACGTTCTCTTCCAGGTTTGGGACCCTCTCGCTGGACGAGATTCCCGGGCTCGCATTCAGTTCACAACACTTGGCCTCCCAAAGTGTTGGGATTACAGGCGTGAGCCACTGCACCCAGCCTGAAGTCAATTTTTCTGAGCACTCAGTGGGCCCTGTCAATCTGGAAAGTCTTTCAATTTTAGGACATTCTTCCTTTATTTATTTCTTTAATAATTCTCTGGTCTTTGTTTTTCCTGTTCCCTATTTCTGGGCTACCTATTTTTCAAATGTTGAATTCCTTGATTGATTTGCTGGTTTTCTTATATTTTCTCCATTGCTTTTATTTTATCTCTGTCATTTAATTTTAATTTCTAGAAATTTCATCTTTGTTTTTTTAATCTCTAATTATTTTTATTACTGATTTTTCTTAAGTCTTTATTTTTCTTTTCTTCTTTTCTTTTTTTTTTGAGACAGTCTCTCTCTCTCTCTCTTGTCCAGGCTGGAGTGCAGGGGTGCCATCTCTGCTCACTTCAACCTCCGCCTCCTCAGTTCAAGCTATTCTCCTGCCTCAGCCTCCCAAGTACCTGAGATTTCAGGAATGCACCACCACACCTGGCTAATTTTTGAACTGTTAATAGAGACAGGGTTTCACCATGTAGCCCAGGCTGATCTTGAATTCTTAACCTCAAGTGATCTGCCCACCTTGGCCTCCCAGAGTACTGGGATTACAGGTGTGAGCCACTATGCCTGGCCTTCTTCTCTCTTTTCTAATGTGAAGGGAGGCCTATGTAGACAAGCTACTTGCCCTTATCCTTCTTAAAATACTCCCTTTCAGGTTTTTGCTTGAGATCAGTCTCCCTGCTTTAAGAAGGGGAGAGGACTCAGATAAGAGTATCTCTCTGAGAGGCCTCACCAGTTTAAGAATATTCTGCTCTACTTTGTGGGGAGAGGAAACTTGGGATGATTAGCCTAGAAAAAAAATAAGACCAAATAGACCCATGATAGCTGTCTTCAAGCATTTGACATGGAGTTGTTTTTGGACTTTTTCTCCGGAACTGTTAAAGGTCAGAATTAGGAATAATAGGTAGAAGTTACAGAAAAGTAAATTCTGATTGCTAAAAATTAGAGGGGTCCAGTGATGGAATGCACTTTCTTGACATGTATTGATTTTTCCATTGTTGGAAGAGTGTTAAGAGCTAAGGGAAGGGTTGTTTAGAGGGTGCTCTTGCTTTTGATACATATCAGATGCAACAACTTCTCAGGTCTGAATTCTAAGAATCTATGCTCAAAAACTTAAAAGAAAAAATGGCTCTGTATTTCCAAAACCAGGGTTTTTCAAATATTAGTTTTTAAAGAAGCGGGAAACTTTTTCAAACCAAAAACTTACATGAAACTCAATGTATCAAACAGATCAAAATGGAGCTGCCCAGTCTAAAGTGGGAAGAAGGCCAGGCATGGTGGTTCATGCCTGTGATCCCACCACTGTGGGAGGCTGAGACGGGCGAAGCACTTGAGGTCAGGAAGTCAAGACCAGGCTGGCCAACATGGTGGAACCCCATTTCTACTAAAAATACAAAAATTAACTGGGCATGGTGGTGCACATCTGTAGTACCAGCTACTTGGGAGGCTGAGGCAGGAGAACTGCTTGAATCCCGGAGGTGGAGGTTGCAGTGAGCCGAGATCGTGCCACTGAACTCCAGCCTGCACGACAGAGTGAGACTCTGTCTCAAAAAAACAAAGTGGGAAGAAGGGCGCAGGTCTCTGCCTTTTCAGCCTCCCTCAGTTCCCTGATTGTGACCTGAGAACCAAGTCTAAGTTTCTTACATTTGCATTCAAAAAACTTTAAAAATCTTATCTCTATGCAATTTTCTCACATGATATGGCGCAGTAACTGGCAGCTGCAGCCAGGCGGTATCTTCATTATTTCCAGATGGCTTGCAGGTGTTCCTGCCACCGCTCCTCAGTTCACAGTGCTCCCTTGCCTGCGTGCTCTTTTATACCCTTTCCATCGCCACTGTTTCTCTGAAATCTATTTTTCTTCAAGACTTGGAGAAGGTCCTCCATGAACCTCTCCCTGAATGCCTTGGCCTTTGGGTGGTTGTTCCCATGCTCTGTTCTACTGTATGTATTGCTTGAGCCCCAGAGGTGGAGGTTATATTTATGTAAACATAAATTTATATAATTTATTAATTATATAAATTAATTTACTCATTTATATAACAAATCAATAAATTAATAAATTCTGTTATATACATTTATTTATTTTGATTAGACACAGCCTACTTTGCAGCATTTTTATGCATGTGGCCATTCTGCCTGACCACTGTGATGATATATTTGGTAGTCATTAAGACTGTTCATCGCTGGCACGATGGCTCACACCTATAATCCCAGCACTTTGGGAGGCCGAGGCGGGTGGATCACCTGAGGTCGGGAGTTCGAGACCAGCCTAGCCAACATGGTGAAACCCTGTCTCTACTAAAAATACAAAAATTAACCAAGTGTGGTGGCAGGTGCCTCAAATTCCAGCTACTTGGGAGGCTGAGGCATGAGAATTGCTTGTACCAGGGAGGCAGAGGTTACAGTGAGCCGAGATTTTGCCACTGCACTCTAGTCTGGGGGATAGAGTGAAACTCTGTCTCCAAGAAAAGAAAAAAAGACTGTTCATCAAATATTCTGGATTTCTGAGTTTTTCAAAGATTTTATTTTATTGTGGTAAGAACACATAACATATTGAGATCTGTTTTAACAATTTTTTGTGTTCAATACATTATTATTGACTCTAGGTACAACATAGTACAGCAGATTTCTAAAACTTTAATTAAAAAAATTTTTTTGAGACAGGGTCTTACTCTGTCATCCAAGCTGGAGTGCAGTCGTACAATCATAGCTCACTGCAGCCTCCGCCTTCCCACCATCCCTGAGTAGCTGGGACTACAGGGGCATGCTGTCATGCCCAGCTAATTTTTTATTCTTAATAGAGACAAGGTCTTGCTATGTTGCTTAGGCTGGTCTTGAACTCCTGAGCTCAAGGAATCATCCTGCCTTAGCCTCCCAAAGTGCTGGGATTACAGGTGTGAGCTACTGCACCTGGCCTCTAGAACTTACTCATCTTGTTTAACAGAAACTTTCTGCCCATTGATTAGTAATTCCTCACATCCCTTACTTTCCGGCTCTTGACAAGCATCATGCCACTCTTTGCTGACATAAATTTGACTGTTTTAGACACCTCATGTAACTGGAATCATGCAGCCTTTGTCTTTCTGTGACCGGTTTACTTCACTTGCCCTCAAGGCTCATTCATGTCATCATGTATTGCAGGATTCCCTTATTTTAAAAGACTGAACAGTATTCCACGGTGTATATACACACCACATTTTCTTCATCCATTCATCCGTCGATGGACATTTAGCTTGTCCCCACATCTTGGCTATGGTCGATAATGCCAATGCACGTGAGTGTGCAGATATCTCTTTGAGATACTGATTCAGTTTAATTGGGTATATATCCAGACATGGAATGGCTGGGTCATACAGTAGCTCTATCTTTCATTTTTTGAAGAACCTCTGTACCATTTTCCATAGTGGCCACACCATTTTACATTCCCACCCAACGTGTGCAAGGGTTCCATATTCTCCACAGCCTTGCTCAAGACTGCCTTGCTGTTTTGCTAATTCTGGCTTTCCGCATTCTAAGCCTATTGCAGGATTGTACTTTTGGCCCTCTTGTGGTTGAATGGTGCCATGTCACTGTTGTGGCCAGTGAGTTATGAGGTGGTTACATTTTACTTCCAAGGTCAGGGCATATAACGGCCAATTCAAAACTCTCTAGAGCTCTCTTTCCCTCTGCCATGGTGATTAACACCCAATGAGTGGCTACTCAGGCAGCCTGGGTTCCACACGAGGGTATGGGGCAGTGTTCCCAGCCAGCCTTCAGTGGATATGCAGCATGTATGGAAAATAGACAGACTTGGTTCTTAGAAGCCACCAAGACTCTTCTCTTTTTGGTTACTGCAGCATACCCTAGTTTATCTTACAGAGCTGGCTGATAGAGGACAATATCCTTACTGCTCTGAATTCCTGGTGCTCGGGAGAGTGCTCTGTGCATAAGAGTATTTAAGATTGGATTTATTTAGAAGACATTTCTGCTTTTGAGGGATATGAAGCTCATTTAAAAATACTTGTTTTCCATTTTCCTCAATAAGTGGTAAGCATGTTAGGGACAGAAACCTTCCTGAACATTTCTGCCCTTGCCTCCCAGAACCTTAGTCCTTAGTCCATAGGTAACTTAAAATGGCCTGGGTAGCTTTGGATGTGGGGTAGTTAGAGAAAGGCCCTGAGGAGGGATGAGAAGCTGATCTGGCATGAAGAGAGCAGTGGTTGGTTCCTGGACGAGAAGACAATGAACGATTGAGGGAAAGAGCAGCTTCTGGAAAGGTTTGGCAACAGTGAAGATAAGAGGCCAGTGAAGAGATCCTGGGAGGGACAAGGAGAGTGAGGAAAAGGGATAAGCTTGGAAACATGTTCTGATAAAAAGCCGGGCATTTATCCTCTTATCTTTCACCAGTGCCTGAACAGTTACATCGAATACACTCCGAGCCTGGACGCTGGGTGAGCCCTCTGGGTCTTAGACTTGAGATACTAAGTATTGAAATTTTCAAACTTGAAAATCACAGTAAGAGGAGAGATCTCTGAGCTACTGCCCATCCTAGTGTCGCTTGCATTGAACGTTGATTATGTTGACAATGAAAAGCCAGGAGAGCTTCAAGAAGGAAAGAGGACAATAGCTAAATGTTCCAAGAAGTCAAGGAGGGTGTGAATTTGTAGTAAATAGCAATAACTTATCAGATGCTTTCTGATTATCAGCGTTGTCAGCGGCTTTCCCCTACACCAGGCACTGTTCTGTGAGCTTTACAAGTATTACCTAGTTTAATCTTCAGTCCAGTGTACTCGACCCCTTCACAGCAAACCTCCACTGTCAGTAGCATCACCTCCATATTAGAGATAATTAAACTGAAGTTCAGAGACACTAATTAACTTGTTCAAATCACGTGGCTAATATGTGGCAAAGTGAGGATTTGAACCCAGATTTGTCTGGCTGCAAAGCTGTGTTCTTTCCGTTACCCCACATTACCCCTAGTGATAGATTGTCAAACGCCATGTCAAATAAATCAAATAAAAAAGCCCAACGTATTCATTACCATTGCTAATTACACATAGCACCAGGAGCCAGAGAGTTGGAATAGAACCCCGGAAAATCTCCAAGCCTTATTTAGGCCTGAAGTTTCATCTTCTTTGCCCACTACCCTCCAACGCTTCCTACCCGCAAAGATTACCAAGAAGTGACATGTAAATACATTTCCTTTCCTGCTGCAGTGCTCCCGGCAGGGAACTAACCAGAAGTGGGTGGAAGAAATCTGAGAAAGGAGTGGAAGGGTGCTGGGCAAACGCTTCAACTGGGGTCACTTACGGTTTATGAGTCAAAGCAAGAGTCAATGGCCAGGCAGGGAACAGGTTCAGACTTTTCTGAAAAAGAAAGATAGATCTTACCATTTTTGTACTAAAAAGCACTTGGCTCTTTCCTAATCTATCTGCTGGCCTTATGCATAAGTTAGCCATTACTATGTAACGTTCCATGCCAAAACTCAGTGGCTTCAAACAGCAATCTTTTATATGTGGCTAGATTGCTCTGCTTGAGGCTGGAGTGCCTGGTGCAGCTCTGTTTCTCACTGTAGATTTGTGAGTCACCTGGAGTAGCTCTGCCCCACATAGCTCTCATCCTCCTTGGACCACTGGGGCATGTTCTTCTCATAGTGATGGCAGAGGCACAAAAAGGCACATGAAAACATTCATCGTCTCTTAAAACCTAGGCTCAGAACTGGCACACTGTCACTCCTGTCCATATGGCACTGGCCAAAGCAAATCACATGCCAAGACCAAAGTGAAGGGACAACAAAATAGAGTTCTCCTCTAGAATGAGTCCTTGACAAATGTGTGAATTCAAGTATGGGGGATGAAGTAGGGCCAAGAATGCAATCCACCATTTCTTATGTGAAGGACCAGGCTGGGCATGATGGGTCATGCCTATAATCCCAGCATTTTGGGAGGCCAAGGCGGGATAATTGCTTGAGACCAAGAGTTTGGGGTTGCAGTGAGCTATGATTGTGCCACTGTGCTCCAGCCTGGGTGACAGAGCTGAAGACTCTGTCTCAAAAAAATAAACAATAATAAAAAGGAAAGACCACAACAATAATAAATGGCTTTTCTTTTGCTTCCTATGAGGTTGCTATTTGTTCCTATTAAACATGTTCTGTTAAAAGTGAGGGCTGTGGCTTTCCTGCTCATTCCACTCCATGAATACTGACATTCTAGTTTCCAGTGGTGATGGCCGTGAAGATACTAAGGCATTTTCCCCTGCTCTGCCCTTTATTTGGTATTCTTATAAAGAATCACCAACACATGGGGCATCCTAAGATGCCCTTGTTGCTGGGAGGAACCCAACGTGCACAGAAGTATCACTCCTTTCTGTCTCACCTGTTTTTTGGCGTCTTTTTTCTCATTAATAAAAAATAAATTAGTAATCAAAATGCTTTCCCCCTTCTTGGTTCTCCAGGTGTATTATAAAATTCTTCAAAGGCAAGACTCTGTCTTCTCTTCGTTAACCTTCCTTCCCCCTCTGCCAGCCCCCTCATTCAGTGCGGTTGATACCTTCCTTGCCTGCCTGTCTGATCTCAAATGACTGTTCTCTTTCTGGTTGACTGATCCGGGCTCTGCCATGCTCCTCAGGACAATAAATACCAGTCTGGACTGCCCAGAATGGAGTCCTCTGTTTTTCCAGTGAGAAGCCTCCTATCCCTCTCTAATCACTCATCATTCATGAAGCTCCTTCTTCTGGTTTTCACTGTTACCCTGCTCCTGGCCCAGGTCACCCCAGGTAAACAGGATATCCAGAAGGGTATGGGAGTCAGGGAACCTGATGCATGTTCAGAGAACTCTGGGGGCTCTGACAGGTTGGGCTGGGAGAATGGCCTGGTAGAGTTCACTGAGGCCTTTTGGTCGTCTCTCTAGTCATAGGCAAGTTTGAGTTCTCTGGTACCAGCTGGTCTTCCCAGTGTCCATTACTTGACCACTCCAACCTTATCTCTGGTTGGCTCTGGAGAAGCTGAACATGATGACCTGAGGGTGGGATAGGGTGTAAAGAGAGAGACTTGGGTATGGATTATAGAGAAAATAGGGACTTTTAAAAAAAATTGCTTGCAAGGATTTGAATTTTGAGCTATCGTTGCCTCTAGGAAAATGGTTCTCAAATTTCCGATTGTGTGAGGATTCTGATTCCACTTTTTTATGCAGCCCCAAATTATGTGGGTTATCTTAGGTTGTAGATTTCCCAGAGTGGCTGTTCCTAATTCCCTAGAGAAAAGTCCCAGGATGTTGTGAAGAAGGCAGTATAATATCCTTGAAAGTTTTGCAGATGCCGCAGAAACCTTACAGATATTCTCATTTGTTTATTTCATATTCCTGTCACCTTTCATTGACATGGTTATAGGGGGTACTCGAGGATATCAAGAAAAGGTGGCTAATTGCTACTAGACACCTGGGTACATTATAATATGGGGGAGATAAAACCCTGGAGAGAGGGTCCTCTTCCCTCTCCCAAGGAGCTGGCCAAGGAGGGGAAGCTGCCCAGTAGGTCCCATGCCACTGAGCCGGGGGTGTTCTGGGGGTCCTAACGGGGCACAAGTGGAAGAAGAAAGCATAGTGGTCTATAATCTCCCTTAAACTTAGGGGATCCTATGTAAGGGCATCTTCCTCACAGATCTCCTCCTTTTCCTCCTACTCCTCTACTGGGCTTTAGCCTCTCCCTTTCCCACCCTTCTGCTTTCTTTCAAAACTGACCCTGCTGTCTTCTTCCTTTTTGTTTTCAGTCATGAAGTGTTGGGGTAAGTCAGGCAGGTGCAGAACAATGTGTAAAGAAAGTGAAGTATACTATCTATTATGCAACACCAAGGCTAAGTGCTGTGTGGATCCCAAGTATGTACCTGTAGAACCACCAAAACTACCAAACACAAATACAAGCCTGGAATCAATTTCTGCAGTCTGACACCTCTCTTCCAACCTGGAGCCTCAACATCCTGGGATCCCACAGTTCTATTAAACCATTCTTGGCAGTATCCTGTTTCTGTCTGATAGTTCCACCTAGTTATGTTTAGAAACAAGTAAAAAAGGAAGAAAAGAGTGTGTGTGTGTGTGTGTGTGTGTGCGCGCGCGCGTGCATGTGCATGCATGTGAGTGTGCATGCACATTAGGAAGAACAAGACGTACCAGTAGGTGGTAATAATCTAAACTTTGCAAATAGCTCCCAGCCTGCTGACCCATAGCTTGTCCCAGAGGATATAAATTAAAGAATATTAATCATGTCCACTTGATTTCTGTTTTCTTCTAGACCAGCACTGCCAACAGAACATTATGCCATGATGGAAATGTTTCCTATTTGTGTTGTTCAATATGGTAGCTGTTAGCCACATGTGCTACTCAGCACTTGAAATGTGCCCAGTGTGAATGAGGACCTGAAGTTTTAATTTGATTCAACCTAGCTTTAAATTTATATAGCTAAATGTGGCTAGTGGTTACTGTGTTGTACAGCATGGCTTTAGAATCTAGACTGAAGCAGGCTGTGGGTCCCAATCTATGAGTATTTTAGAGGAGTCCAGGAGGCAAGCAAGAGTCTATGATGAACGTAAGAACCCATCGCTTGCCCAGGGCTTCTCTCTATTCTCACACCCACGGCTTTAATTTTCCCTTGATCACACCTGCAGTCTGCCCCTCAGGGGCTCCAGCGTGTTGCCTCTTGTGAATCTTCCTCACCGTGGAGGGTGCTGGCATCAGGCACTGTGTGGATCCGTGCTCCACCTCTTTCCATTCCCTCCATTTGAGGCCATGGGACATTAAACTGCTGGCTGATTATTTTCCAGAACTGATCCTGAACCGAGACCACAGGAATTTTACCACATTCTGCCCCATGATCCCAAGTATCCCCAACTCTTGCTATTTATCTGACTAATAAAAAATAACTTGATTCTTTTTTTATTTTTAAGATGGGGTTTCACCATGATGGCCAGGCTGGTCTCGAACTCCTGACCTCAGGTAATCCACCCACCTCGGGCTCCCAAAGTGCTAGGATTACAGGCGTGAGCCACCGTGCCCGGCCTATTTTTTTTTTTTTTAATTGTACTTTAGGTTCTGGAGTACATGTGCAGATCATGCAGGATTGTTGCATAGGTACACACATGGCAATGTGGTTTGCTGCCTCCATCCCCCTCCTCCCATCATCTACATCTGACATTTCTCCCCATGTTATCCCTCCCTGACCTCCCCATCCCCCCCGCTGTGTTTTATCCTGTGTTTAAAAGTTCTGTTTGGAGTCACCTGCCTCCTATTCAGCCCTTTCACATTGGAGTCCTGACCTGGCTTCAGCCTTATGTCCCCAGTTCACCTTCCTGATGACAAACTTGAGCCTCAGTTTCAGTGTCTAAGTATCACCAAAGCTGTCTAGGGAAGACCATTCGATGTAGGAGCAGAAGATCTGGGGTCAAATCCTTGCTTCATCACATGTCAGCTGCATGACCCTAGGCAAGCCATTTAACCCTCTCTGCTCTATTTTCTCATCTCTAAAATGGGGAACTTTCCTACTCAAGGCATAGGGTTGTCAGGAGAATGAAATGAGATAACAGACAGGGAAGTGCCCAGCACAGAATCTAGCGCGCATTCAGTTCTTGATAAAAATGTAAGATGAATCTGGGCTGATCTCATTTTGTAATTTTCTACTTTTAGGTTCTGCACAGTAATTCTCTGCCCGGAAAAAGTTAAATCCTCCTTCACTATGTTGCCACCAGCTCCTACTTCTCAGAGTTAATAACTTATAAAGTTGAAGTAAAGTCCTGTACGCTACCATTTTTTCACTAATTGTCTTACCCTCCTGATTCAATTTCCCTTCAGTTTAGTCCTGTAATATTTATCTTGCAGACTCAGCTCCCTTGCTCTACTCTGCATGGTATTAATGCCAAACTCCCAACCATGGTAGAACACAAGCACCTAATTGCTTTCTCTATAGGTAAACTTTATTTTTTAAGGCAAGATCTTGCTCGGTTACCCAGGCTGGAGCGCAGTGGTGTGATCATAGCTCATTATAGCCTTAACCTCCTGGGCTCAAGGGATTCCCCTGATTCTTCTGCCTCAGCTTCCCAAATAGCTGGGACTACAGGTGTGTGCTACCACTCTTGGCTGTTATTTTTTTATTTTTATTTTTGGTAGAGATGTGGGTGTTTCTGTGTTTCCCAGCCTGGTCTCGAACTTCTGCCCTTAAGTGATCATCCTCCTGCCTTGGTCTCCCTAAGTATTAGGATTACAGGCATGAGCCACTGTGCCTGATCTATATATAGGTCAGTAGTTGATTGTTCTTAGAAAAAATAATCCAACTAGTTACACTGATTACACTGGAAATTCAGGGCCTCCAGCCTCAAAGACCACTCAATACTGCCCAGCTAATCTCCTGTTTTTCCCTATGAAGCTTGATTTCTCATTCTTTGAAATGACTAGTCCATGTTTTTTCCTCTCTCCTCAATCGTCTACCATTCTCTATCCCCACCAAAATATCATTTCTTGCCTTGTATTTTGAGAAAATAGAAACCATCAGAATCAACTCCTTCATCTTCTCTCTACTAAGTCTACACACTGTGGTATTGGGTCCTACAGCTCCTGTCCTGCTTTGGTTTACAATGAAAGAATGTCTACTCCTGAGAAACTGGCCCTTTTGCTTGTCCACATTCATTTCCTCTCCCCTTCCCAAGAACTTCATATTCATTTATTCTCCCCTTCTCTGCCAGATCATTTCTATCATACAAAGATGCTCTAGTACCTTCCATCTTTTTTTCTTTTTTTTTGAGACAGAATCACCATACTGGAGTGCAGTGGCAAGATCCTGGAGCACTGCAACTTCCGTTTTCTGGTTTCAAGCAATTCTCCTGCCTCAGCCTCCCAAATAGCTGGGACTACAGGCATGAACCACCACGCCCAGCCGATTTTTTGTATTTTTAGTAAAGACGAGATTTCACCATGTTGGCCAGGATGGTCTCGATCTCTTGACCTCGTGATCCACCCGCTTCGGCCTCCCAAAGTGCTGGGATTACAGGCATGAGCCACCACGCCCCGCTCACCTTCCATCTTTTTTTTAAAAAAGTCCCTGAGTCCCACATTTCTCTCTGGACAATGCCTCATTTATTTGCAGTGCTTAAAAAAATACTTCTCAAAATGTTGTCTGCCTTCACACTTTATCCATTTTTTTCTCATTCACCTTTCAACTCAGTTCAATTTGGTTTTGACTCTGCCACCGAACCTTTTCTAGTAAAGATTACCAACTATCTCCAGTGTTGTCAAACCCAACAGAGGCACCCCTGTTTTCCTCTTATTGACCAGTGAAGAGGTGTTTGACATAGAGGCCACAACGTCCTCATTGAAATGCTTTCTTCTCTTGCCTTCTAAGATAGCAGACTCTCCTGGTTTTCCTCTGAACCCCTGAGCCATTCATTTTTCACCACCACCCTGTGCCTACTAGGCAGAAGAGGAACCCGAGGCTCAGGAAATGAAGGGAAATGGCCAAGGCAGCAGAGTCTGGCCAGGGAGCCTGCCCCCTGTGCCCCTTCAGTCTTCTGTCCTGGTTCCTCCTTCCCTTTCCAAAGGCCAGGACTGTTTCTGGGCTCTTTTTCTCTTTTCTCTCTGCTCTTTTTCACTAGGTACTTTGAGTACCTTCCATATGCTGATCATTCTCAAATTCATAGCTTCTATCCTGAACTTTCTCTAATGTCTAAACTGGTATATCTTTTCCCTTAAATGACATCTCCATCTGGTTATCTAATATATCAAAATGGAACTCCCAATGGGGACCTCACCTCACCGGGCCTTGTTAGTACCCTGTTACTTTCTTTCTTAGTAAATGGTAACAACATGTGCCCAGATGCACCAAACTTACAAGTTGTGCATGATTCCTCACTTCACCTATTTGCATTCAATTTCTCAGCAAGTCCTGCGGCTCTACCTTCAAAATGCATATCAAATTTATCCATTTCTTTCCATCTAGTTCAGGCCACTGCCATTTTCATGTGGTCCTCTACAGTAGTCTCCTGTTTTCTCTAATTAATTTTGCACATAGCAGCCAAATGGTAAATTATTTTCATTTTTTTTCAGATCTAGTCTGAATCCAGAAAGGTAAATTATATCCTGTTACTACTCTGTTTTGCACCAAACAATAGCATTCCATTTCACTAAGAATAAAATCCAGACTCCTTGACGTGGACTAGGAGGCCTTGCCCTACCAGTCCTTGCTCACCTCTCTGTCCTTCTCCTTATACTCAGGTCACCCAGGCTTCCTTTCTGTTTCTTGATGTCAACATGCTCTTTTCCTGTCCCAGGGCCTACTTACATGCTGCTCCCTCTTCCCAAGAAGGCTCTGACTCTGGTGTCTATATGGCTTTTTTTGTCCCATCATCCAGGCCTTAATTTAAATGTTATTCTTGATTATTATATCTAATGAAGTCCTTTATATCACTATGCAAATGTATGTTCTAGCACTTCTCAAAAATCAGTATTTTGTTTATTTACTTTTTTCTTGTCTCTCTTCCAGGAGAATTTGGGTTTTATGATCGCAGGGACCTTGCTGGTTTTACTCACCATTCCGTGGTGCCTGGTACACTGTAGGAACACAATGAGTACTTGCTACCTACGTGATGGGTAAACTCCAGGAATGGTCACTTTCCCACTCAAACAGGTCTTCCTTTTCAAGTTCTTGTGTTTTACCATCGCCTGAAACTCAAGCCTTCTTTTTCCACCCATGGTTCACCCTCATGATTTAGTAAATGCTTCTCTTTCCTTGATGTGGATATTCTAAGCAGGAGTGGTACAGTGTGAGTTTAAGGCACCTTATACAAGGGGGCAGTCTAAGATAGCCAAGCACTTCTTTTTGAGATTCTGATGAACATCAGATTCAAGAAGACAGGACTTTCTTCAATCTGGGCATTCAGGGATTTGAGTACATTATAGAACATATCTAGCAATGGGGAGTAGGTGGGAAAGGACAGGAAAAATAATACTGTTTGTGCCCAAACTGGAGTTATCTAAATTCTGGCTAATTTACATGA